GTATCCATTATTCATGCGGCCGACCTCATCATCTGGGACGAGGTACCCATGATGCATCGAAATGTCTTTGAGTCTGTGGACCGGATTATGGATCGACCCTTGGTTCCTTTCGGCGGAAAGATTGTCGTGTTCGGTGTTGACTTTCGACAGGTATTGCCGGTGGTTGTTCATGGATCTCAGTCTCAAATCGAAGGCGCATGTCTAAAGATGTCTGGCACCATTTGGCCCAAGGTCAAGGAACTCAAGCAAACTCGCAATATGCGAGTCATGGAGGACAAGAGCAGCTCTTTTTCTTCCGTCGTTTTTTTGCTACATGTGGGTGAAGGCAAGGAGCAGACATTTTCCTTGGCGACTCTGATGATTATATCAGGATTCCAGACGACATCCTTTTTACGCCACATGGACCCAATCTCAACAACGAGCACGAGATCCAACTTATCCGCACCATCTACCCCAATATCTCCATCGGCAACTTTGCACCTCACGACATCAAGCGCACCGCTATTTTGACAACATTGAACAAGGATGTCAATTACATGAACAACCTCCCGACCACACTACTTCCTGGCAAGGCAACAGAGTACCTTGGCCAAGACTCCGTTCCGGATTCAGATACCAACGGCGTCGCCAACTATCCTACAGAGTATCTCAACTCTTTGGACCCCACTGGATTACCTCCCTACTATCTGGTGCTGAAAGTTGGTATGCCCATCATTCTCCTCCGAAATGTGGACCAAAAAAAAAGGACTCTGCAACGGAACTCGCTTGATTGTCCGCCGGCTCAGGCCACGCTGCATCATGGCAACAATCCTGACGGGACCTTTTGCCACCGACTTGGTCTTCATCCCACGAGTGCCTATTTAACAACAGACGACAAGTCCACCCCGATCATATTCAAGAGACGACAGTTCCCGGGCAGGCCCGCTTTTGCCATGACGATCAACAAGGCGCAGGGTCAAACCCTTGAAAATGTCGGACTATATCTCCCTACTCCTGTGTTCACACACAGTAAGCTTTATATTTCTCTTTCTTGATGCGCAGACATCAAAAATGTCAAAGTTCTTATGATCCATGGCAGCATCCCCGAGCTTGAGGGCACATACACTAGAAGTGATGTCTATAAGAGAGTTCCGTAATCATACCCTACACCATAGAATCGATCAAAATGTTAAAAGAGTGAACAATGCTCGCCCGTTCTTTAGATCAGTCCTCTCATCCTTTTTGCTGGCTCACTTTTTTATTCCTAATATTATTTTCCCCCCTTTGAAGTCAAGACACATCCAAAATGAATGAGAAAAGACCCCAGGTCGGCAACACCTCTAGCCCTTACACACCAAACCTGGGAATCGAGAAACCGGCGCAGCGTCCGCGGCGTAGCCGCGGCCACTTGCTAGTTTTAAATTTATCTAAAGCATTTGGAGAAATTCACGTGACTTTTCCAAATTTTCAGCGTGTTAAGAACGAAGAGACACAAAGGTCGTGGGTTCAAACCCCACCCCGACCAACAATTAATGCCATCTGGAAAATCGCAAGTGCAACACGTTCTCCTGGAAATATCGCTTGTGCTGCACATTCTTCTGGAAAGTCGTATGTGCTGCAGTGCCTCTACCAATGTCTCTTCATCTTTGCCATCACTCTCATTGACTCCTCCACTGCTCCTTACATTCAACCTCGCTCTGTTACCTTGAACCTCAATCTCTCCCATACAGCCTCTTCACTCATGATGACGATTCACGACACAGCATCCACCGCCCAGGCAGTAAGATCAAGATTTATACAATGCGGCCTCTGAGTGGTTCCGAACCAAGGTGGGACGAAATGCAGAGACTGCCATTCAGAATGTCCGCAAGGACCAATTTCGAGAGCCTTGGGTGCATGACCTGCTCTATGACAGGTAGGCTTGTTTTTGTTAAACAGACTGTGTTGGTGTTATGCATGAGGGCCTAATTCCCCCTGTTTCCTGTATAATAGGCTCAAGCTTCTCCGGACTGGCCTTGGTCCTCAGTGTGATGAGAACACCTATACATCGTTCTGGATTGTACCTGACTTTGTTGCATTGCAGACTGGAATTCCTGGCCTAATTTCGACGGGGTTTGCTAATGAGAACCACTTTGGGCCATCTGCCTGGCGCCGGGCGCTTTTTAGAGGGAAATCATATGCCAAAGGAACAAGTGTAGATGCCTATTATCTTGGCCGAGATGACTTTGTTGACATCATCTTTGAGAATGTTGGGTCACCATCATGCACTGATCATGCAAAGCATACTGAGGACAAGGAGAAATCATACAAGAATGCTGCGGATGCATTGCTTGAGCGTTTTTACAACTCGACTGGATCCTTTGAAATTGCGAAGGGCTACTGTGTCATCATTGTCATTGTGTTCGGTGCGTACAGGCTTTGCCAATTTTTCTAATCAATGCTTGCACAAGCACTCATTTGACTAAGCTGCCATCCACTTCACATTTTGTAGGTCGTGATGTGTCCATTTACACCACCAATATCAGGGACGGCAACGAGTTCGATGTGTCAAAGGTATTCCAAGGGAAATACCATTTTTCAAAGGATGTCTATCTTGCAAACATTCTCATCCATCTAAAATTCTGTCTGACGATCAAGGTATGTTTCGGTTTCTTTTGTCTCCTGTACACCTTTGTTCTTTGCCTGCTTCGATCTAAGCCGTGACTTTTGTGCTGTGACTTTTGTGGTTTTTTTTTCTACTAGACAATAATGGAGAGAAATGTCGATGTATCATGCAAATTTGGAAACTCAATTGAGTCGCTGCCAGTCGAGGAACAAGCCCATTTCAACTTGAGTCTTCATTCGACACCTACAAAAGAACGGATTCGCAGACAGGCGTCCTCCATTGGCAGTGATTAACATGAGTTTGTCTTTATTTGAAACTACGGAATAAAACTATGAAAAAAAAAAACTAAAATCTATTGTTCTGTTCAGAGTCATACCCTTAAGAACAGACACGAAACAAACGCGTACAACAGGTTCCTACATGACACACGATCTGCTATTTTTAGTTATCAGATGCGCCTCGCCTCCACCATGACTGCAGGCAGAGCTACTCGAGCCTATGACATCTTGGAGCGCTCAAATAATGGACAAAGTATATTTATCTGAATTGGGATACTAAAGGGAGAGGATCACCAATCCTACTGCTCGATCAACGCTGACTTTGCGCGTGCACTGGGTAATAGGGACAAAGTACCGGGAATCCTGCACCGTTGCCATACCTCCGTTTATCCGAACTGGCGCCCAGTACAAGAATTTACTGTTTCAGAAATTTTCGGCCCTTTTCGAGGAATTTGGCACCCCGGAGTTATTCGGAACGTTCACTTGTAACGACCGAAGTGCAGATCAATTCGCCGTTTCCGAGCATTTTGGTGGTTCTGGAGCCAATACACACGACGATCCTGTTCTCTTCGCTATGCACTGGAAGAGACAGTGGTTTCGTTTCTGGAACTGGGTTTTGAGATCCCGAAAGGGTCGACCTGGATGGGCAGAAAGACGAGTTGGAGGAGCACGAGCGTGGTGCTGGGTATTCGAATTACAGGACAGCGGAACCCACATACCCACTACTGTATCTGGGCAAAGAACAGTATCGAGCAGGTGATTGACGATGGAATAATCAGTTGCACGCTGCAGCAGAAGAAGGAGGAAGACCGAGCACTAGTTCTCAGACATCAGATTCACAGCTGCTCGCCGTACTGTAAGTCCGACCCCGAAGGCCCCTGTCGTTTCAATTTCCCCATGAGCCCTAGTTATCGCCGTACATATTTCGATGTCGCGAAAGAACGCTATATTCTGCAACGACCAAAAGTAGATGAGTTTGTTGATGGCTATAACATGGAACTACTTCGATATGGCTGAATGAATATGGACCTACAGTACAACCAAGGAGGTCGAGCCAAGAAGTATATGTGCAAGTACGTAACCAAGCAGGCCAGGCCAAAGCACGCCACCATTGTCAGGGGGGCTGATGCTGGCTTGACCCGGGATGTCGGTTCTTTACCAGCTGAGAGAGATATGCCGTCGAAAACCTACATTGAACATTTCCACTACAGAAGTGTTGGTATAGTGGAGGCTATTATGGACATCTGTGGGTGGAAGATGCATGGTTGCTCGCACAATGATGTATTTTTGCCAACGGACCTTCCCTCGAAGCGCAAGCTCCTTTTGAAACGAGTGGCTGCGCTAAAAGCCTCGCCGGATGGCACAAACATTTTTCTCGATGACATGTGGACTAAGTACCTCAAGCGACCTAAGAATGTTGAAGGTACCCTATGGATATATTGACTGGGTTCATGTATTTTAATTTCGGGGCTTTAGGGTATTTTTAGGGTTTTTTATTCGCTATGCATTAGAAACCGACCCTAGGAACATGCTTTAAATAGGGGGAACGAATTTTGAAAATATGACCTTTCCCTATTTCTTCAAGCATTACCGCTATTGGAAAACGAAGAGTGGGCCGTTTTGCGTTGATGTCAGAGGAGTTTATGTCACTGAGAGAGCATTCGGGAAGGAGGCTTTAATAAGAAAAAGAGACGTCAATAGTACCAATTCCGAAGATGCCTTCATGCACTTGTTGATGCTGCACCACCCCTGGAGGAAAGACGATGACACCTGGGGGGTATTCAATAAGTAGACGTCCACATATGTAAAAGATCTCGATTGAATGACAGCCAATCATCGGGGGTGTAGACAAGCGCAAAAAAATTCACTTGCGAACTTCCACGAGGCAACGACAGCCAATCATTTCTGCGTTGGACATACATTGTTTTGTAATGTATGTCCAACGTTTCGTTGTGTGGAATTATGTGATCATCTGATCTTATCCTTTTTTGTATAAAAGCGATCTTGCGCATGTAGACTTCCACTTATTGAATACTCTTCTGATTGAAACAAAAAAAAACCCCATGCCTTGACGCTCATTCTTGATCGAAAAAAAGAACTATGATGGCTCCACCCCCCAGCTTTCGTTTTATTACTATTTAACCAGATCTCTGGTTGAGCAACAACATCTGCTTCAACATCTCTTCCACCTTCTGATGTTGTTGGTCCTGAAAGTCGAGTCGTTCTTGTTGCTTCTTCCTCTCCGCCTGCCAAAGCTCACCTTGGACCGCCAATAGGTCCTTGATCTCGTCCAGTTCGGTTTTGAGCGCTTTGACAAGGTCTTGGGTTTCTGGGGATGATGATGGCAGGGTTGTATCGATCGCGTCTCGACTAGTAGTAGTGGTGGTGGAGGTGGCGGCAATATCAAAACTAGATTTCTTCTCTTCCGCCTTTTCCTCCTCCTCATCCCTCTCCCTGTCCTCCTCCACTTCTTCTTCCACTTCATCGTCTTCTTCCTCATCGTCTTTCTCCGAACCGAACACAAACCGCGGTTTTGGCTCATCCAGCCCGTACTTCTTCCGATACTCCTCCACTTCCTTATCTGTAGCCGTGTAGTACACCCATCTCGGGAAATAATCGAAATAGTTTCTGAAATAGGGTAAGAAAAACGACAAGTTCTCGGCTCCGGCAATTAGATCTAGTCGGTTCTTGAGCCAGGTCTGGTCCACGGTGAGGATCGTTTCGGTGTAGACACCGTTCATAAGCGCTATATGAAAGGTCAAAAAGGATTAGAGACTAGTTCAGCAAAAGAAAAAAGAACAGCGAACATAAGGAGCGAGAGAAAGAAAGAGAGAGAAATGCTTACCAACGACAACGTTCATCATCAGCACAGCGGTGAGAAAGAAGAACATGCTAACCATCAACTGACTAGTCCAATGTCCGTTCGTCAACGAAGTCTGCACCGGACCATAATCGCCTGTCTGGAAATGGGAAAGAAAAAAAAAGGCAAGAGTTAGATGTCGGGCATACGCAATAGACGGTGGCATTGACTTTTTGTGCAGCTACATGTCGCTTTACCATAAAGAAATAAGTCGCAGAGATAGACTGCAGATAATTCCTCGGAAACTCTGCTCGCTGCGCATTACAAATCGAGAGAGAAGTAGTATCATCCGGGTCAGGCATACACCCCACCGACCGGAAATTGATTTCTGTCAAATGGTTGAGGGAATGCGCGAAAGAAAGAACAAAGATGGCCAGGATGATGAAGAATGCGGGGATGTCGGAGAGAATGTTGACCACGATCGTGACTACTCGGCACACGTTCCTGAACACTCGGAGCTCAAAGATCTTTTTTGGGGAAAGGAAGGAAAGAAAGAAAACATCGGTCAATGTTCTGCACCAACGATGTTTCCAGAAGATTGGATTGTAAAAAAGAACTTACAAAATGGATGTAGATGAAGACCACCGAGAAACTCAGAGCTCGCAAAGCCACGATTTGGTCGGAATCGGCAATCAAGATACAGCTCGAGACCATCGGGATCACATATGCCCAGAGATCGACATAGTTGTAGGGCGATCTTGAAAAGATTTTGGAAAACAAAGGAAGCAGCGGAGTGTCAGACTTGTGAATGGTTTGGATTCAAGAAAAGAATAAAGTAAAGCAATACTTACGAGAAGTAACGGCCAATGCCTCTGCGCATCTGCTGAAACTCGAAATGCAGCAACACGTAACCGAGCACAATGATGGTAATATATCCGCCAACCAGGTCAGCTCGCTGCTCTTCATCTCCATAGAGTTGAAATAATGTCACGACGAGGACCAAAAACTCGTACGAGATTTGGAACGACAGTCGAAGAAACCAAAAATATCGAGCAAATCTCGTCCATTTGTAGGTCATCAGAGCCGAGAATGCAGGATTGTCATAGGCTTGGAGATCGTCGTAGTGGCTGTGGATAAAGACCTTATCAAATGGAAAGACAAAGTGCCAGATCATTCGAAGGAACAAAGCCCCGCTACCTGCGACCGTTGTCAGCTTCGCTGGCATTGCTGGCTCCGTCGTCTTTGCCGGCAGTTGCTGGTCCTTGTCAATAACCTGGCCAGTCAATAATCTTCCGTCCTTCTTCGCCTTTTTGCTGCCGTCTTCGTTTCCTTGAATCGTCCAAACCAGCGAAAACGGGGCCATGTACAGATTGGTCTTGATGTCGGCATTCTTTTTCACTGTCTCGGCCGCCACAGGCAACAATCCCGGCTGGTTTTTGAGGTCTTGGGTCTTGTTGCTGTCGAAAATAGCCAACCGGTTGAGACGATGAAAGACTGGGTTCTGGTCAATGACCTCGTACAGCTTTGATTTTACTGGCACCCAAAACTTGCCCGGTCGCCACTGGTCTCCGTTATAGACTGCCTGTTGCAGAACTTGATCTCGATTCAAGACTGGAAGGAATGCAGCTCGTCGGGCAATATTCAAGGCTACGTCAGGGTGCTTGGGTATAAGGTGCGGGACACTGATCATCAACTTTTCGAGCAAGACAGGGTCGGTCGAGTGAGCTCTTGCGAGGCAATAATCAATCAGGATCTCGGCCACGGGCAACTTGAATTCGACGATCAAATGAGCAATCATGTCCTTTTCGGCGTTGTCTGAGAACTCGTCCGGGCTTGGTACCCAGTATCCAAGGTGGTTGTTAGATCCTAGGACGCCTAGGAGAAGTGCATCATTGCCGGAGCGAACGCATTCGAGAACAATTTTCCACATAAAGGACGTTCCTGGTGGGCCTTCACCGGCTTTTGTAGCGCTGACATCATGAGGGTCTAGATTGTGACAGAATAGATGGTCAGCCCTATCTCTCTCACATCCTAACTCCATTTTAGTATGTATGTAGGCCAGTTGTACCGTGGACATCATCAACTCCTACTTCTTCCTACAGTCAGCCTGTTCCCCTCTGTATTCTTACATGGATCCTTGTTGATGTGGCGAGCAATACACTCGGCCACAGCCCTTTTGTAGGTCACAGGGAATGTATCAAAGTCATCAGTGTACTGCTCGATACGGTGCCAAATCGCGAGAACGTTCTCCGATCCTGAAAGTTCCTTGTCAGATGTCCCGAACCTCGAGCCGTTATTCCTATCGTCTCCATCCCAACGGTGAAAGCATCCGTGCGTGCAAATAAACCGCCCACAGTCCGGGGAAGTCTCGGATGCGTCTCCGACTCCCAACAATGTGCACCGATCGGTTCTTGCCCTGGGTAGCTGCCACAACTCAAAACCGGCATTGGACCAACCACTGTGGTCATCAAAGTCGGGCTTGGAAAAGACATAACATTGGTTCCGACTTTGCAAAATGGTCCAACCCAGACAACCTCCTGAAACTGGTAGCTCGAGTAGTATCACTCCATGACTGTTTGACTCACTCTTACCCCAAATGCGGGCAAGACGAATGAGACCCTTTTTGTCGTTCATGATAAATCTGAACGTACATTGTTGGTTCTCATCGTAGAAACTGTCCCTGTTTTGTTTGGGACCGTGCCTCCAGGACTCTGAGCAATCTGGCCCACAGACTGCCGCTGTGGTTGTGGGCTCGAGGTCCAGCAGTTTGATGCTCCGGGATGTACGAACAATGGCAGTTCCGATCGCGTTCTGCTGACCCAATGTCTTCGACGGCAGCACATGGATAAGCCTTGACCCGAGAGGGATAGCTACAGTCGTCTCTTGAATGTCCTCCAAATAATGCATGTCGACATATCGAACAAGCTCTGAAGTTTTATCGCCATCTTCTTGAATGTCGTTTTGTTGCAGCATTGCTAGTCGTCCGTTCCCTCGAGAAAGAACAACATGCGAATACGTGACATACTCGTTCTCGCGGTACTTCCAAGCAATATTGGTCCTGAGATTCTGCAGTTGTCCGTTCTTGGTCGAATAGGTGCAGACGAGGGAGTCGCGAAACACGGCCAGCAGAGATTCATCCGTGGACAAGACTGGTGTGGATCCTTTTGGAAAGTATCCAACGTTCCTTCCCGTCCGCCAGTTCCAAACCGAGATCTCTTTGTGGGTATTCACGTACCATACAAACATTGAGTTTTGAAGATTCTTCATCAATAGCCTGTAGGATGTGTAATCTCCATTGAGCGAGAGCGCGGCGAGAGATACGGTGTAGAGCAGCTTGAGTCCTGTTCGAGCTTCATACACCTCCAAGCAGCGACCGTTGCAAGTTACTAGGACAAACTTCCGCGGATCTGCTGACTGCCTGTTGTCGTTGCTGCGTTGCTCCAAACGGTGTTGAAACTTTGCAAATCCGGCGAAAGTAAAGAGCGGCGATATCTTGTCGTACCGGACTTCCTCCAGCCCATTGCTCTGAGTGACAGCCTGTTTGTCACCACTACCACCGACTGTCGGCGTTTTCATTTCAAACAGCTGTTGCTTGACCGTCGTGGCTTCTGCTGCTGAAGCTGCCGTTATGGTGGTCGTTGTTGGCTTGCGTTGAAACACTCTCAACGGAAACTTTCCAGCCGAGAACCCATCCTCGATGAGTTTGCGCGGTGTATCAAACACGGTCACAAGCTCTCCATTGCTCGACAAGGCGACATCGAGGAGCGACATATCGAGCTCTTCTACTCCATCGATCATGAACGCTATCCATGCCATTGGTCGTCTTGACTTGGTCAGATCATCCTTTTCCTTGTTGTTGGAGTAATAGTAGTAGCCGTTCAAATCCCACAGATCCAAAAAGAACTCCACCCCACGGCCCTTTCTAGAAATTGTCACCACGGTTTTTTTATCCTGAGAAACCGCAGTCGCCAAGATATAAACCTTTTGAAAGTCCTCCCGGATAGAAGGCGGGATGAGCTCCAGTGGCGTGTCTACTCTGCGAGTAACAGGCAGTGCGAGAATCGAGGGGCCATCTCGCTCGTGTTCTTGCTCTTGTTCTTGCCCTTCTTCTTCGGGATCGCAAGGTCTCATCTCGAATAGAAAAGCCGTGCCTGGTTTTGGAGAACTGTTATCGATCGTTTCGATAATGTTTTGACTGCTGCCGGTATTGTCGGCTCCCTTGAGTCGGTCCACAAACTCGAAACGCAAATCGAGCGAAGCCACTAGCTGGTAGCCTTTCTCGACATGGATCTTTGTGTCGAGTCGAAAGCGAACTGTCCGAGCTTTTTTTGGGAGGAGTAGGAGAACAAAACATTTGAAAACGATTATTAGTCCTCCAAAAGCCTCTCTTCCCGTTACCCACGTTGACCCATAATTTTCTAGCATCCTCCGTTACCTACTTTGTTGTTCTTGTTGTTCATGTTGGTCTTCTTTTAATTTCTTCCACAAACCCGATACCTCCGTACGGTCGCCGTGGTTCTAAATAAAAAATGCAAAAGAAAAAAAATTGGTCAGGTCTGAATTTGTTTTTTGCTCGGTCTATTTTTTTTTTTGAGTGAGGAACAAACAAACAAAAAACACTCACCCCTGTGAGAACTAGAGTTACTTTCGTCAACTTCCCAATCCGATTAGAAGCAGGGACGGAGACGCTCCAGATGGCGATGTAGTCACCAGGGTCTGTGAATGCACTCACCGAGGCCTTGTACTATTTTATTGTATATAAAAGCGGTAATATTGGTGAGCAACCCATAGCCTCGCCTCGAGCACGCACAGGACGGTAGAACATTGAAAACCATTTTTGTACCTTGACATGACCGATGGAAGCCGAAAACAAGACGTTCGTTCTCTTATCAGGGTTGATAATTTCCGGAACAGTCTGGTATGGGCTCAGTGGTTGCTGCTGCTGCTGCAACAGTAGTGCTGCTGTAGCTGGTTCCTGCCTGTCCTCAGAACTGGTACTGGGTCGAATTGCTTCGATCGTGGTGGAGGTGGTGGTCTGACTATTGTCCTCTTGATCGTTATCGTCGTCGTGGCTGCCAGAGGAGGCTACGGACAGATCCACGATAACGTGACTGTCGTTCGACCTTGACATTACTGAATTTTACACTACTGAAAAAACAAAGCTGGATAAGAGTGGAGTCAAAGGTGAAGGAGGGAAAGAAGTCAGGAAAAGTGTTTAAAAAAAAGAGAAAACGGAAAAGGCACAAGTCTTTTTAATGGTCGTTCGATTTTTTTTTTTTGTTATTGCTTTTTTGCATGGTTGTTGAGCTTGCAAAGTACTTGTGTGCAGCAGGTTTAGCCCAATGGTCAATTGATTCGATATGAAGGAAAATAAGATCCTCCCGCGGGACAAACAAAAAACAAATTGTCAACATGCCGACCAGAAGGAGCGAGCCAACAATCGACGGATGGGGGGAAGGTGGAGAAAAAGCACTGCATTCCAGAAAGGTACCCTCGATTTTTTCGTCAGTTCCCTTGAAATTTTCTCTGTGCAACCATGATTGATGTTGACTGACCAATGCCCGCAGAATACATCGTCAATTTGCTCGTGAGAACAATACGAGAGATGGTAAAGCCCCCGCCCCGAGGTAAATATAGCACAAAAATGGGTGGGTACATTGCCAAATTGTCAAGTCGAGAAGGTCCGCGCTAAAATTTGCTCCTCTACCTGTAATACTATCATCTACGCCTATGCAGCATAATTTTCCTTTCTTCCCGCTGTGAGCCGATACGGCATTTTTTTCTCATATATTTCCACTGTACGCCTGTCGCCCATACAACATTTTTTCCTTTTTCCCGCTGTAAGCACTTGGGAAGTGTCATTGCCTCCCAACCTAAAAGACATGAATACATACTGCCACGTTCCGTGAGTGATCGGTCGATTCTTGTGTAACATTGCAAGTGATCGGTCGACCCTTGGCATGATCGATCACGCTTTGCCTTGCTTTGCCATTTGCTTCGCTTTTTGTATATAAACTCATAAAAGGTAGCATATTTAGTTCCTCATTTAGCTTAAAGATAGGGGCTTGTCGCCGTTGCTATAGTGGAGGATTTGCTCTTTCCATATAAGAAAACCCAAAAAAAAAAAACTGTCTGTTCATGACTCCCGCTTGCTTAGATGGTAGACTGGCGCGAGAGAATGATTCTGGCACTTCCCCGACATCAGTTGATAGTAAGGGGGGAGGGGGGGGGTTTACCTCGTACCGAAAAAAAACGAATGGTAGATTGTTTCTTGTTATTAGCTGGGGCCGCTGGAGGGTCTTTTTTATCTCCAGTCGTCTTGAATTTTTGATGGGAGACTCCTAGGGGTATGGTGATGCTAGCCCTGCGCTCATTTACTGCCCTCACAACAGGATTTAGGAGAATTGCTCAAGCCTTATGTATGCTTGCTTTTTTCTTTTCTTTTTTTCTCCTAGTCGGGGGCGGGGCGGCGCAGCAAGTCAGGCAGGCAGGTGTGAGCGAAGTAGGCGCAGACGACACATCCATAGATCATTCTCTAAAACAGCCCTTAAATAGACACCCATGAGTAAAAGAGAGAGAGAGAGGGAAAAAACAAATCTAAACAATAAATGGCTTAACACGGCTCGTGTTTCAGGAAACTTTACATGGCTCTAGACAATATTTTTTACATGGCTCGTGCACGGGAAATTTTACATGGCTTTAGCACGACATTTTTAGACGCCTCGTGCACAAGAAATTTTAAACACCATCCGTTTCTGCTCCTTCCTTTTGATAACCCTCTCTTGACCATCACCTCCTGTCCTTACCCTCTCGTCCCTACTGCTGTTACAGGGTGCCAGAGCTGGATGGGGCGAATTGGTCTTTTTTGTGGGCATTGTTATCTGACGAGGCAAAAGAGAAAAACCCTTAGTCGCCGTCTGCCTTAATGGAAAGCCCTTAATTTGCGCCCTCAGAAAGAAAGAGAGAGGAGATGTTGTTCTTTCGAACAAATCTATAGAACAATGGGCTTAATCTCAGCAGATCGTAGCAACAAGGCTACTCTACTGCTTACAATACCCCGTTCAATTAAAGTCGTCTGCAATGGATTTATCTCTTCCAATATTTGAAATTAACATTAGCAGGAACCTCACAAAGCCTTTCCGCTCTGCAAGATAACCCCACGTAGTATGATTCAGGATCCGAGGATCTATTCGTATTCAACTAAAAATCGGAAAAGGCGGTAATCGTCGCGTTCTAGCACGGGTTCTGACTTAGAGGCGTTCAGCCATAACCCAACGGATGATAGCTTCGGGCCATTGCCTGCTCAGGCAGGCCCAAATACCAATTATCCGAATGAACGGTTCCTCTCGTACACGGGAAACGGAGTTAATTCGCCATCAACGAGGCAGAACAGTTAAGGTGTTTGTCATTATGTTGCGTAGCATGGGGAGAGGTGGGTGCGTCTGAAGAATGAAGGTGAAGGTTGAAGGAAGATGGTTAGAGCCAAAGGAAAGGATAAGGGCGGACGAGGAAAGAAAGAGGATGATGCCAAGGGAAGGGGTATAAGGCAAAAGCGGGCGTGTGAACGATGATAAATATACCAAGGTCTTGATGGGTCGCTAATGTGCTAAGCGAGATGATGGTGGCAAAGACGTGGCCACGCAAACGTACGTACGTAATAATGAAAGCCACGTGATGACAAATGGGTGACGTTACCGTATTTTGTATACACACAACTGCGGCATAAAGCCTTGTTGCACATCCTTACTCTTTCCATCGCTTTCTTCCTTTCAAGCGCCTTCCTTCTTGCATCCTTCCTCTTCTGCATCCTTCCTCTTCTGCATCCTTCCTCTTCTGCATCCTTCCTCTTCTGCATCCTTCCACTTTTGCATTCTTCCCCTTCTGCATCCTTCCCTCTCTCATTCTCTCAATCACAACCAATCATCAAACCAGCCATTCACGAACTCATTCATCAATCACTAATAACACTCACGCGAACCATCCAATACTGTCCCCGCGATGCCGAAGGTCGTGTCGTCGATTTCAAAGAACAAGAGGAAAGGAAAGAGGGGGGCCTTAAGTAACTTTTTCGGACAGGAAACAGCCGAAGACTCAATGATCCAACCACAGAGTTCCACGCCGGTCGCCGACATTACTCTACGCTGTGTTTTTGATGGAGAGAGCAATTCGAATTCTTTCCAGGTCAGCCTTCCCCTGACAGCTGACGTTGGTGACCTCAAGGATGCAATCAAGGACAAGAATAGTCCTGAATTCGACTTCAAAGCCGCACACAGGCTCATTCTCTGGAAAGTCCTGATTCCTCTCCCACAAGACTACAACGACGACGACGACATCGAAGAAGAAGTAGAGGAGGAGGAGGAGGAGGAGGAGGAGGAGGAGGAGGAGGGCGGCTCGCGCGTTTGCCTCGACGAAATACCGAAGAAGGAGAAGAAACTACTCGAGAGAGCATCGAGAAAGGTCTCTATTGTCTTTGGCAGTCACCCTGACGATAACACGATCCATGTCGTCGTCAAGCGTCCCCCGCCAGGTAATGCATCAGCTTTGTTTTCTAATCGCATGGACTTGTCTGTGAAAAGCTATTGTATTGACCATTTGTGTTATGTACTCACCTTTTCTTTTGCTTCCAATAGCCCGGAAACGAGACTACGAAGAAGATGAAGATGGTGAGTCATGCTCTGTGCTGCGACACAATTGTTTATTATTCATTCAATCATCCGTGAGTACTTACACTGCTGTCTCTCTCTCGCAGAGCCTTCTTCCAAGAGAAGTCGTCTTAATTCGGGTACGATAAAAAGGGCGATTGCGGCGGTCGGTCTTATGGGAAAGGCTGTAGTGAGTGGACGATAAAACCTTTCTCGTCTAAACAACAAAGAAAAAGTCGCCCTTCTTGCTGAAATTGACGAAGATGTTGGGGAGACAGAGACCTTTGACTCGTTGTCTAGCACTGCCAGCCTGCTACGAATCACCAGCGCCAATATCGAAGCCTTGGACAAAATGTCGGCACTAGACAGCACCATTTTCCCTGTTGTAGAAACAGCAGATCTCTACGTCCGACAGACTTACAAGGATCTTTACAACACAATTCTCGGTCGATTTCAGGGTGACGGTTGTTGCAGCTTAAGTGTCAGTCCACACTGTTAGTCTTAAGGGTAGTCAGTAGATCAGCTAGCATATATATATCTTTCATAGGGATCATTAAAGACCCCAGCTTTCTCACCATTTCCTGTCCCATTAGTGTTCATATCACAACGGTTTTCAAGATCCCGAAATTCTGTCTCGAATTATTGTTGCAGGAACATCCGGGATTGGTTTATCTTTGCTGCCATAGCTAAGAGAGTACCCTCTCGATACAAGTTCATCGTCAACCTCAAATCTCTCCATGTAGTAGTAGCAATGCGTGACCGCCTCCATAATAGTCATCTTGCGGTTGGTCGGCAAGGTTTTCTTGTATGCGCTTCCCAGCCCTTCCTGCGCATTAGTGTCCTTGGCTAATCTTGAGGTGTCAGCATCGGTCATGGCGGGGAAAATGAGAGACTCTCGACAAGGGTCTTGGTACCATGCAAGCCATGTAGTAATCGCTGGGCCTGGAATTCGGTTCTTTAGGGCGGTAGTGATGGACTTGTACTCCTCAACTGACAACTTCTCAAGGAGTCTGTTCGTTGCAGACAAAAAGTAATCCTTGTGTTCGGGTGGACACTCGGGGCTTTTAGCGAACTTCCATGCATTACGCTTGAAGTGAACACCACAGAATCCATAGATCCCTTCGAGTTTGACAGGGGTAGGCTCAGGGACATTACAAAACTCCCTGACAGCTAGCACAAATCCCTGTTGCTCGGCAGCGGAGAGATCGCAGGTCATGCCTGGAAATTCGTTTGAGAAAACCTCCAGAGTAGGCTTGGAGTCCCACAAAGTCTGGAACACCACTAAAAAGTGAGCCTTGTAATGGTACTTGGACATGCCGAGAAGAAAGCTGACAACCATGGGAAGAGTTCTCTTCAAGGATCGACTGTATCTGGATGTCATGGTGATATTGATGTCGCGATAGGGGGGCTCGGTGATAATGCCATGGATGGAGTCAGTCATTAAACAGCTATCTCTTGCGACAAGACGGGAACGCATGGCATCTGTCCGAATAATAACATGGCCATTCTCAGTGTCCGGAGAGATAGCCACAATCACCTTCTTGCCCATGCGAGCATTGAAAGAAAGGAGGCCAGCAATCCCATCAAAAGTTTTGGTCTTTTGTTCTGCCTTGATACCCTTTCGATAATGGTAGAAGCGACCAGAGTGTGCGAGACCCGGATGGATAGATGAGGCTGCAGACCGAAAATCGTTCGCAATTAGTGCCTTGCTGGTGGTCTGCTCGGGCGCAAGTTTAACCCATTTTTTGAGCTCGCGCTTGGCCTCAGGAGGTACTCGAACAGGCGGGGGCTTGAGATGGTTATGGAATCCTTTGTGATGAATCTCAATAGTAGTGTCGTTGCAGGCATGATGGACAGCCATAGTCGCAGCGCAGTTCTTGTATGCAAGGGGGTTGTGTTGGTGTTCTTTTTTATTGCATCGGGATAGCGCTGGCGGTGGGAGAGCGTCCTTTCTCTTCAAGGCTGGCTGCACGGGGCGCTCGGTGTATTCACACAAAGGATCCTGATCGCAAAAGTAGATGCCTAGACACACCTTGTGGTAGACGACCTTGAGCATCGGTGGCGGGACCTTCGAGTCGATTTTGGACTCTTTTTCGGCAGTATTCAATGGCGCACCCTCTGGTCCGATACCTTGTTGAAAGATGATCCCTGGAGCTCTAAGGTACTGGTTGCAATAGCTCGATCGAACTGTGCGCGCTTGACCTTGGTTTCACTATCCTTGACCTTGTACCACTTCTCTCCTGATCTGCCTTTGCGAAACTCGTGGACGTGGCTGTAAAGAAGGAATGTAGCCCACCCCACACTGTGGGGGTCAGTCTTGGAGTCACCGCCTTCGATGATGCGTTCTTCAACAACAGCACCGTTCGGAAATTCGATGGAGGAAGGATAGTTGTATGTTCTCGCTGGCTGTGACGCATTGGAGTCGAGTACATCAGATTGGCTTTGTGGAGGGTCAATGTATATCAGAATCGGTGGAGAGCAAGGAAGAGACGGACTGAGCGGAAACGGAGTAGGCGAAGTCGCATTGTTGACAGAGTATATGGTAGAGGTTGTTGCTGAAGGATGGCTGTCAGAGGACTGAGAGAAAAGCAGAGGGGTATGAGCAGAATAGGCAGAGAGAACAGGTACGGTAGTCACGGAAGGCAGGACAGAAAAGAGAGGCACGGTGGGTAGTGCAGACAAGTCAGGCAAGGCAGGCAGGGCAGACAAGGGGGCCATCGGGTTCTGGCGTGACAAAGGGGTCACCAAGTTTTGGCCAGGAAGAGAGAAGAATGAATTAGCGTGGTCCATAAATGCCTCCTGGCAAAGAACCACGGATTCGTCCTCTAGCGAAACCTGTAAACAAAGAAAGAAAAAGAGGACAGATTAGATTTACCCCAGCATATAAAAAAAAGAAAACAAATGGATGTACAAGGGTGTTTACCATGTCATCAAAAGGGCCTTCCAACGAACGCACTATAGAGGGAGCACTCGTGCTGTCCTGGGATCCATGTGGCGGGACACTGACAGTTGGCTGAGGCTGGGGGTCGACTGGAAACAATTGACCTAAAGTCTGTAAAGTGAAAGAGGTGAATATATGGAGGAGCTAAAAGAAGAGGAAAGGACCAAAGGAAGAGCGAGAGAGAAGCAAGGTTCAATGCCCATTGCTTGTTACCTAACTGATTGTCCGTGAGTGGGAAGAGACAACAGTGTCTGAGCTGTTTCCAGCGAGCTCAAGTGGTGGTGACCATCGAGGGCAGAGTCCGAAGCACTCGGAACAGAGGCAGACTGAAAAGACGACGCAAATGATTGTAAGTCGCAAGATTTAGATTCAGACATAAGAAAACAAGCAGCAAGCGCACGTTTGTTACCTGTCCTTTCTTGGTCAACGCTCTATAGGCGAGCTCTGCAACGCCCAAAACAAGTTTAGCTGTGTCCTCTGAAGACTTTTCTAGGACATGTTCGATATACCGAAAAAGGGCAGCTTCGAATTCACTTTTGGGCGACATTGTTGAGAGAAAGTGGAGTGCTTTTTTTTTTTTTTTTTTTTTTTTCAAAAGTGACCTAATGACTATTTTTGTTTATTTTTTGGTCAAAGAAATGAGGAAAGAAAGAGAAACAAAGGTTGTTTGGTCAAGAATAAAAAAAAAGAAAAATGAGCGTAAGTGATCAAGTGCATCCTCTTTTTTCAAATGGTGATGACTTCGGCATTTCGTCACCATATCAGAATTAACACACATGGTGATCACCATGAGAACAATGAGAATGGATGACGGTGATCCATTTGTGAATCCATCTGATGCCGATGGAGGAATTAGCATGAATGTAGAAAAACGTGAATCATCTGATCACTCATGCTCAGCACTGAAGAGTTATTTGACATGAACAGTTTCTTTTGAATCAAAATCGACTATTGCGCGTTTCAAATAAAATGATGTAAATTTTTTCTGTCTAATGGGAGAATAGTCTCTAATCGGAGAATTCTTATTCGAACTGTTTCGGATGCTAATCTGACACCATCAAGGAAATTTTTCATTTTCATTGCTCTCGCAAAAAAAAAAAAGCATCGTTCTTCCACCTTGCCACCATGTCCAAGAAACAAAATCCTTCAAAGAGACGTATCCTTACCCGCCAGAGCGCTCCTCCACAAAAGTTCTGACGCTGTTCTGCACTTCTGTTGGCCAAACTGGAGGGACTAGGCGTGCCTTCTTCTCATACACTTGCCCTGTCGCATTGAAGCATTCTGTGACAATGGTTGGTTAAAATGATCTACGTTGTTTCTCATCGAAGGAAGGTCATTTCATATTGTATTTACCTGTCCAACGTTTGATTGTGCCAGCGGATATGCCTAATAAAGAAGCTACTTCATTCAGATCGATGGCCATGAAGCTGAAAAGTATAACTGCCCTCCATCGAAGATCCTCGGAATATGTCATGGAGCGGAAATATTTTTTGTGGAGAATTGATTTTTCTCTTTTTTTTGTGAGGGAGAAAGGATAATTTTTAAAACACTTCGAGTAGCCAGCATTACCATGCTTGAATAGCTTAACCCTTAGTGTTTTGAGGTCAAACTTTCACCTCAAAACACTAAGTGATAAACTATTCCTAGGTCGTTATTCGCTCTGTTCCAAGCGTTGACCAAGCAAAGCATTGTGTGGAGCAGGTTTAGCATGCTGATTGCACAAAAAATTAGCCCTCTAATCGGAATGATTAGTGGTCTAATCGGAAAATGAAAAAAATTGACATTCGTTTAATCAATGATTAGCTGTCCGAATTAATTATTTTACTTGAAACGCGCAATACTTCAAAATATAAGGTGTATGCGAAAGGCTGACGCGGACTCCGGTTGCTTACCTTGTTTATATGATATGGCGAGCACAGGGTGACATAGTCTTTGGATGTGAAGAGGAAGGAAAAGTTTGGTTGTAATAGCAACAGAAGAAGGGTGACAGACAAGAGCAGGAGGAAGAAACTGATGGTGTTTATTGTACAGGGGAGCCAGGGTATTTATGTATGCTATGCTATGGGCTCCGGGATGGTGGTGATGTGGTGAGGTGGTGATGTGGTTAGATGGGGATGTAATTAGGTGATAATGTGGTTAGATGAAACAGTGGTTAGATGACGCTAATGATCTAGGGTCACAACAGACTATGATACTGTGACATTGGTGTATATGAAGAAAAAATATCAAGTGGTTGGATTGATGATGTATTTATACTCAAATTTTAGAGAAAGAGTGCTTCGCCTTAGGTAGATGCGGAATGTTCTATAGTTTGAGGCAAAGAGGAAAATGAAGCTTTACCACCTTGAGGCTGAATTCAACGCTGATTTTGAGGCTGATTTTGAGGCTGATTTTGAGGCGTAAGGGTTACTTCGCACTGTGTCAATGCCAGATATGGCACGCGCCCTGACCAATGACGGTTGAGGCGTTATCCTCAAAGATTCATGACCGCCCTTCATACGTTTAGAATGTGGCTCCAGTACAAAGCACCTTCATTTGTGGCTGTAACCGACGTTAGCCCCCAGCATTGAGGTTAAGCCCCATTACACCCCTACTTTAGCCTCTAATGTTGCGCCCAACCTTTTCTGTCTCTATAACTGGCTTGTGGCAGCCAAGCGTTCATAGCGACGTTGCTTTTTGATCCTTCGATGTCGGCTCTTCCTATCATACTGAAGCAGAATTCAGTAAGCGTTGGATTGTTCACCCACTAATAGGGAACGTGAGCTGGGTTTAGACCGTCGTGAGACAGGTTAGTTTTACCCTACTGATGAAATGTTGTTGCAATAGTAATTGAACTTAGTACGAGAGGAACCGTTCATTCGGATAATTGGTATTTGGGCCTGCCTGAGCAGGCAATGGCCCGAAGCTATCATCCGTTGGGTTATGGCTGAACGCCTCTAAGTCAGAACCCGTGCTAGAACGCGACGATTACCGCCTTTTCCGATTTTTAGTTGAATACGAATAGATCCTCGGATCCTGAATCATACAACGTAGGGTTGTCTTGCAGAGTGGAAAGGCTTTGTGAGGCTCCTGCTAATGTTAATTTCAAATATTGGAAGAGATATAAAGCCATTGCAGTATAGCATGTCACAACTCCTCATGAACTACTACTGCATTCTACAAACTAGAGATGAGCATGATATTTCGCCCATTTATCTGTTGGATAGATGCCTTGTTACAGTATCGCATCTAGCCACCTTCCATCTAACCACATCCCCATTGTTCCATAGCTCCATCTAACCACATCATCATCTAACCACATCACCACCATCCCGGAGCCCATAGCATAGCATACATAAATACCCTGGCTTCTCCTGTACAATAAACATCACCCGTTTCTGCCTTCTGCTCTTGTCCGCTACCCTCCTTCTGTTGCTATTACATGCCTCCACTTTGGGAATGCATCTACTATTGCAAATGTTCAGGGTGTAGTCTCTGTCTATGCTTCTCCAAGGTACTCTCATCTTCTGCTGCATCTTCTGCTGCATCTTCGCCGTGGAATGCAGGAGGAGATGTACCACTGCAGTCATCATCTCTTGCTACTTCATCTCTTGTGCAGTATACATTGCAAGTGCACAAAGATATATGTCGACTGCAGTTGCACAACTGGGGTTGGCAGAGCACTGGATATTTTTAAAATCCGCCATTGCCTGCCTTGCATGAAAATGGGCCCTTTGCAGTGATTCTTATCGAAACGAGAAAAGTGAATTCGTTTCGTTAAGCCCGTACTAAGTACCTGTAAGTGGTCTTAACGAATGGGTTATCGAACTGAAATCCGGTTCGTTGAGAAACACTGGCCCCTTGGTTCGTAATACATCTAACTTTCAACTCCGAGGAAAACCTGCTATGATGAGTTGGAGATGGCGCCAAAGACAGACAGGCTGATTCAATAGCGTTTCCGGGTGAGGGCAAGAAGGATACAAGAATGGTATATTTGAGATTTCAAGGTAAGGAGATAAGAGTGGCAGCAAGGAGGACTATATGAGCTAGAGAGGGACAAGAGTCGATGGGCACTCCGGCTCTCCAAGGAAGTATTCATCTGTGAGACTTTCAGGCATCTCTAGCAAGCGAAAAAAAAGCATGGGAGCTTTAGTACTAGTTTTAGTGGTGCATTCACAAAAATAAATAACACAAACATCGAGACAGTTTTGACTACTTTAACACCCACAAGCTGCAAAGACTTACCTTCTATACGTCCAGCTGTTGAACGGGCGAATATACTGTGAACGAGCTCGTTGTCATCTTGCTGTTTCTCAACTGCTTGAACTTTGATGCTGCAGACACCACGGTACTCATTATGTTGCCTGCAGTTTGAAGTGTTATCACTGGTTTTGGGTCGCCCACAGCTCCGCGCTGTTGGAGTAGCCTCATGTTAACCCTGCTCAAGCCTTGCGCGTCTTCCATGGATGCGCCTGACACAGCAAGTCTGTCATGTGCCGAACTCCATTGCAGGAGCGACTGAAAGATGCCCTTCTCTTCAATGATTTGCCACACGCGAACAAAAGTATCACCGCAGCCGGTTACCAAATAGGTGTCGCCGGGAGTTGCTTTCCAGGCAATGGAGTTGATTGATCCATGAAAATCCTTTACAACTACTAGACATCGACCCGAATTCGCGTCCCACAGACGCACTGTCTTGTCGTCACTGCCCGATGCAATCTGGTGACCACTGGGAGAATAAGCCACGCTCTTAACAGCATTGGCATGGCCGCTTAAGACGGGGCCAGGTGCGCCGGTTTGCGTGTCCCATAGCCGCACAGTCTGGTCCCAACTGCCCGAAGCAATCTGGTGACCACTGGGAGAATAAGCTACGCAATCAACATAGCTGGTATGGCCGCTTAAGACGGGGCCAGGTGCGCCGGTTTGCGTGTCCCACAGCCGCACAGTCTGGTCCCAACTGCCCGAAGCAATTTGGTGACCAGTGGGAGAATAAGCCACGCTGTAAACATAGCTGGTATGGCCGCTTAAGACGGGGCCAGGTGCGCCGGTTTGCGTGTCCCACAGCCGCACAGTCTGGTCCAAACTGCCCGATGCAATCTGGTAACCACTGGGGGAATAAGCCACGCTCAAAACCTCGTTGGTATGGCCGCCCAAGATGGGGCCAGGTGCGCCGGTGTGCGTGTTCCACAGCCGCACAGTCTGGTCCCGACTGCCCGAAGCAATCTGGTGACCACTGGGAGAATAAGCCACGCTCTCAACACTGTTGGTATGGCCGCTTAAGACGGGGCCAGGTGCGCCGGTTTGCGTGTCCCACAGCCGCACAGTCTGGTCCCAACTGCCCGAAGCAATCTGGTGACCACTGGGAGAATAAGCCACGCTCATAACATAGCTGGTATGGCCGCTTAAGACGGGGCCAGGTGCGCCGGTTTGCGTGTCCCACAGCCGCACAGTCTGGTCCCAACTGCCCGAAGCAATTTGGTGACCACTGGGAGAATAAGCCACGCAATCAACATAGCTGGTATGGCCGCTTAAGACGGGGCCAGGTGCGCCGGTTTGCGTGTCCCACAGCCGCACAGTCTGGTCCCAACTGCCCGAAGCAATCTGGTGACCACTGGGAGAATAAGCCACGCTCATAACATAGCTGGTATGGCCGCTTAAGACGGGGCCAGGTGCGCCGGTTTGCGTGTCCCACAACCGCACAGTCTCGTCGTCACTGCCCGATGCAATCTGGTGACCACTGGGAGAATAAGCCACGCTCAAGACACTGTTGGTATGGCCGCTTAAAACGGGGCCAGGTGCGCCGGTTTGCGTGTCCCACAGCCGCACAGTTTTGTCGTCACTGCCCGATGCAATCTGGTAACCACTGGGGGAATAAGCCACGCTCCTAACACTCAAGGTATGGCCGCTTAAGATGGGGCCAGGTGCGCCGGTGTGCGTGTCCCACAGCCGCACAGTCTCGTCGTCACTGCTCGATGCAATCTGGCGTCCACTGGGAGAATAAGCCACGCTCATAACACTCAAGGTATGGCCGCTTAAGACGGGGCCAGGTGCGCCGGTTTGCGTGTCCCACAGCCGCACAGTTTTGTCGTCACTGCCCGAAGCAATCTGGCGTCCACTGGGAGAATAAGCCACGCTCATAACACTCAAGGTATGGCCGCTTAAGACGGGGCCAGGTGCACCGGTTTGCGTGTCCCACAGCCGCACAGTTTTGTCGTCACTGCCCGAAGCAATCTGGCGTCCACTGGGAGAATAAGCCACGCTCTCAACACTCAAGGTATGGCCGCTTAAGACGGGGCCAGGTGCGCCGGTTTGCGTGTCCCACAGCCGCACAGTCTCGTCGTCACTGCTCGATGCAATCTGGTGACCACTGGGAGAATAAGTCACGCTCAAGACACTGTTGGTATGGCCGCTTAAGACGGGGCCAGGTGCGCCGGTTTGCGTGTCCCACAGCCGCACAGTCTGGTCCCAACTGCCCGAAGCAATCTGGTGACCACTGGGAGAATAAGCCACGCTCTCAACACTGCTGGTATGGCCGCTTAAGACGGGGCCAGGTGCGCCGGTTTGCGTGTCCCACAGCCGCACAGTCTCGTCCCGACTGCCCGAAGCAATCTGGCGTCCACTGGGAGAATAGGCCACGCTCATAACACTGCTGGTATGGCCGCTTAAGACGGGGCCAGGTGCGCCGGTTTGCGTGTCCCACAGCCGCACAGTCTCGTCCCAACTGCCCGAAGCAATCTGGCGTCCACTGGGAGAATAAGCCACGCTCATAACATAGCTGGTATGGCCGCTTAAGACGGGGCCAGGTGCGCCGGTTTGCGTGTCCCACAGCCGCACAGTCTCGTCCCGACTGCCCGAAGCAATCTGGCGTCCACTGGGAGAATAGGCCACGCTCATAACACTCAAGGTATGGCCGCTTAAGACGGGGCCAGGTGCGCCGGTTTGCGTGTCCCACAGCCGCACAGTCTCGTCCCAACTGCCCGAAGCAATCTGGCGTCCACTGGGAGAATAAGCCACGCTCATAACATAGCTGGTATGGCCGCTTAAGACGGGGCCAGGTGCGCCGGTTTGCGTGTCCCACAACCGCACAGTCTGGTCCCGACTGCCCGAAGCAATCTGGTGACCACTGGGAGAATAAGTCACGCTCATAACACTGCTGGTATGGCCGCTTAAGACGGGGCCAAGTTCGCCGGTTTGCGTGTTCCACAGCCGCACAGCTTTGTCGTCACTGCCCGATGCAATCTGGTGACCACTGGGGGAATAAGCCACGCTCCTAACACTGCTGGTATGTTCTTGTAAGGTGTGGGTTTTCGTCCAAGTCAAGGTATCGTACACACTGATCGTGCCGTCTGCAAGGCCAAAGACACAGGTTTTCCCGTTCGGCGAATATGAGCAGCAATACACCACATCAAGCTCCTGTACATACGGCCATTCGCCAAACTGTACGCCTGCCATCTGCGCCTTGCTGAAGTCGGCCTGACGTATCCATGTGTTGCGAAGATTTGCCTTCCTCAAATCTGCCCCTTCCAGCTGAGCGAAATCGAACTGCCCGCCACTCAAATCAGCTCGTGGAATCTGGATGCCTTTCAAATCCGCCCCATTAAATCGTACGCCAGCTCTGACCAAAATCGTGATGGCATTGGCCGCTGCCTTACGCATCGCTTTGTTGAATTTGGATTGTTCAATCATAGCGAGAAGTTGGTCCTTGAAGAGTGGCTCTTGCTGCACGCGGTCGGATAAAAAGTCCAGAACGGAGGGCTCTGCCACAAAACTTCTCCACGACAAAGGATGATCGGCTGTACAAGGCTGGGTTGTGACTGGCTCGACGTCCTCCTCTGGCACCAGTTGATCGTCAAAGCTGAAATCAGAGCTGACACTCCCCCGTCTAGCTGGAGCTGCAGCTTGAACGGATTTCTCCTTGCCTTCCTGGGGTTCAAAGACTGAGCGTGCAAAGAAATACTCTAGCAGGGACTTGTGGATGAAACGGTACTGGATTCCACTGCGTGTAAGCGGACTGGCTTCCAGCAAGAGCTGACTCTCATTCTCTCGGGAGAAGAATGCTTCTTTCCATTTCCCATGGTCTTGTTTACGGGAATAGGTCACCACAGGATTGCCCGCCTGGTTCTTGTAGATTGCACTTGCCATGTCCTTCAAGAAACTGATGCCGTTCTGAGTAAAGCCTTCATCGGTCAATCTGTTAAAGTCGGCTCGTGCTTGTGGGTTCAGGTCCTTGTTCCCAAGTCGTTTTTTTCCTTGCTCCAGCCAAAGCCCAACGAATTCGTCATACAGAGTGACCCTCGTGACCCTGGTGGCCTTGAGATTATTGCCTGGATCCACGAGTCGGGGCAAAACCTCCAGAGAAAGCGTCAACAGGAATGGATTCTTGACCAGCTCTTGAAGACTGGGAATCTGGTCGAACACATCCACGTACTGTTTCGTGGTCCACAGCGGCGCCTTGGTGATCACATACTTTGCCAAGTAGTCATTGACTTGGGCCCTGGAGAAGGGAGTAATGACAGCCTCTTGAAACTGTGTGGTGTCGGTTGACGGCTGGAAGAGATCGCGATAGTCCATCCCAATGTATTCGCTACGGCAGCTGACCACCATCTGCACCTGCCATTCTCCTGTCTGGTTCAGGCGGTTGGTCGTGTACAGATTGTGTTTCTCTTGACTCTCGTCGTATCCATCGCAGATCAAGACAAACTTGCGCTGGGTCTTCAACTCTCGAATCTGAGAATCAGAGAGCTCAAACTTGCGCAGTTGCTTGGCAATCATATCCTGTTCTGGTCTGTCGATGGCAGACAGGTTGATGTAAAGTGGGATCCGGCCTGTGGCTTTCTCGTACTTTAGCCACAAGTTGTGCTCGATCTCGCGATTGAATGTTGACTTTCCCGATCCCGAATCGCCAAGTAGAAGCAGCACCTTCTGGTCGGTGCTGGCTAGGAACTCCTCGACCTTTTCCGTCAAGGCAAACAGGACGTCGTCCGACGCTTTCAAATTGGCCTTGGCTTGAGGGGGGATATAGACGGCATCTCCTCGCTCCTTCAGTCTCCGCTGCCTCAGCTTTCGCAAATCTTCCTCGACATCGGGCTTGTTCTGGACGCGATCTAGCAAGGTTAGGGGCGCGAATGGCGGTTGTGAGATCTTCAATGGGTGTTTGCTGGGACCCTGCTCCAGACAATCACTGTAAAGTGCTTGCCTTGCTTTATCGCCATTGCGTCCCAGTCTCTGCAGCACTTTTCTGGCAGTTGCGCTATCAAACGCTAGAGAAAATAGAAGATAAACATGCAGATGCTGTCAGATCGCCATTCATGCCATTGTCTCGTGGTCGTTGACAATGTAATTGCTTGCCACATCAGATCTTCATCACACACATACCTTGGATGGCGTTCTCAGACTGCTGCTGCAAGTGTAAAAGGATATCCAAGATCTTTTGCTTGATGTGTTCGTGATGGCCCCAGACGGCATCATTCTGATAGATCTCCGCCAGGAACTCTAGTGCGTCCTCACGCGACTCTGCATCCCAGGCTGTATTGGCTGCAAGATCTCCTAAGCGCTGGCACACTCCCCACTGAAAAGCAAGGCTGCGTCGGCATGGAGCCTCGAGGACGAGGGTCCTGAACTTGGAGAGTTGGCCGTCCCGGAGCACCCTGTCTATGCCTCGCAAAGCCGAGTACCAGGAACGTTTGCTGTCAAAACTGAGACCATCTCTGAGTGCTTCAAACAGGCCCTGGCCACTGTCTACCAGTGCAGTGACATTGTTGTAACCATCTTGGAGAGTTTGGAAGACCTTGACCGCTCCATCCAGGCCGTCTTCGATATGTCGTATGCCTTCCAGAAAGCTATCAATATCCAGGCCCTTCGCCGCCTTCACCAAACTGAAGACGCCCTGCATCACGTTTCCTGTGCGCCGTTTTGTGGCCTGCCAGGGGCTTTCGTTGTCAGGTACACACTCCAGAGCCTGAAAGGCATAGGCGGCCAGGTACACCATATGGGGGTCGGCGCTGCCTTTCAGCTTGTCGATATATCCAGAAAGGCGTTCGTGAAGAGTTACACGATCCAAGCCCTCGACCTTGCAGTCGGCCATGGCGTCCAGGACGCGCGACACGGCCAACATGAGCTGATAGATATAGCTTTGAGTTTGCGCGTGGGTGGTTTGCAAGCGTGTATTGAGGACTCCCAGGATCTTGACTAGATCAGCCGCCTCGAGGTAGCCCTCGTTCGCGCCCTGTACCAGCTTGGCCAGTCCCTCAAGAGAATGGATATCCAGCAAGGTGGATTTTTCAATGCTGCCGATAAACAGTTCCAGCAGGCATCGAAAGTCGTCCCTGTTGAGGAATGGGGCCAAGCATGCGACCTCCGCAATAGCCGTTGGACCCTTCAACTCATCTCGGATGAATGCGCGGACTAGATTCGTCGTCAAGGTGTTCAGCCTTTCCTGCTCGTCTTCATTGTTTCGTGTTGCTTGGACCCAGCTGAGGGCAGAGTTCTGACGAAGGTCGTCCGACGACGGCGGAGCTTTCAAGAGCCCAAGGCAATAGACAAGCTGGTGCGTGTTGACAAGACGCTCATCTGATTCTGGTAGCTTGTACTCGATTACAGGCGGGTTCTTGTCTTGGACAAAAAAGTCACCAATGACAGACACGTCGATATCAATGGTGGCCGATCTGCAGAGCGCTGGCTGAGTTGCGACGGAATTTGAAGTCTCGAGTGGCGGCTGAACTGCGGTAGACGCTGTGGTCTTGAGTAACCGCTGGGTTGTTTTGGTGGTCTTGAGTGACGGCTGAGCAGCGACAAAAACCGAGGCTTCAAGGGGCGGCTGAATCGCGATGGAAACTGCAGTCTCAAGGGACGGCAAAGTCGAGACGGACAACTCCTCCGCCTCGGTGTATCCCCACTCCTGTGCCTTCTTGTAGCTCTTTTTTGCTCTTTCCTGCTTCTTCAGTTCGTCCAAGAGTTTACTGAGCTTGACAAAAGCACAAGCGATACCATGGCGGAGATCCGTAACGTCCTGGACGGCCTCGGCGACTTTCACACCTTTCTTCATTTGGGATAACGATGCCTCCGCCTCCTCACATAGCACAAGCGCGATCTCGTGCTTCCCTTCCTCGCTGACGGTGCGGCCTTGCTCCAGATAAATGTTGACAAGCTCCAGCTCCTTCTGCGGCGGAAGGGGACTTCGCTTGGATGACACTTTGTTAAACATGTTGACCTGCGTGATCTGTTGTTAATGAGCAAAAGGGAATGGCGAGGTTAAATTTCAGTCTCGGGGAGGTTGACATGTGTAGGAGCGGGAAGTAACACAAACACACTTACAATGCTTGATGCGGCTATTGCTTGATAGGATGAAATGCGATTGAAAGTGCTGAATATAGCTGTTGAATGGGTAGTACGTAAGATAACATGAATGAATGCAAGCAGTTCATGCGTTGAAATTAGAGTCACGTCAGAGTCAATTGACAAACGAAAGGGGGGTTGACGGTGGCCCTTACTTTTTGAATCGTTTTTCTCGGGTCTTGGAACGAGCTTTTGCTTGTTTTTGCGTCCGGCAGTTATGACGGCTGTTGTAAAACAAAAGGACGGATCAGCAAATGCAGTTCTTCAAAGATGACCAGCTATGTCCGGTTCAAGGCGAACAATTGTCTATACCTGCGAATAAACCGTCGTTCTTTCTTTTTTTTATGTTTTTTTGGTGTTTTGTTTGCGTAATGTCGGCACCGAGCTCTGTTTGTGTCTTTCTGGCAATTGTCGCTACCCTATAACGAGTCAGGTCAGAAGAAAAATAATTAGACGTTGACCCTTCTAGATCGGACCTTTGAAGTTCACAAGGAAAAAGAAGAGAGCGGGATAATAGGTCTCACCAGGGCTGTTGCTCGGGAAGTTTTCTGACCAGGAGAGGGTAATAAAAGACGTGCGGTCGAAGCGGAGGTGGTTGTTGGTGTGGTCGGTTTCCTGAAAGTTTGAGGCTCCTTGCGCTGAATCGTTACCAAGGTGGGAACGTAAATTCGACAAGTAAAGCAACGACAAGATATGGATGGATGAACGAAGGAGAAAGAGAAAGAGATGGTTTAAGAAACAGAAAGACACAAAATTTCAACGCAGACCCTTTGACTCGAAATTTTCACACTGTGAGGCAGTGCAGATCACATTATTTTCATATACGAAGGTAGATCTAAGTCGTATGAACATTTCTGTGAATTTTTCACTGTTTCGTTCATAACCTGTGAAGATGGCCTCAAATGTTCATAGGGCTCTTTTTTCTGTCTCTTCCACTTGAAAACACATCACACCTCTCCTCTCCATAATCATGAGCTCAACGCGGCCATCTTGTTCCAGTCAAGGTGTGAACGATAGAGATGGCCCTCGGGGGACAATCGAAGGGAAAATGAAAATAATACATGCGATTCGGCCTTCTTCCTTTGAATCTCTCTGTGAACCTTAGCAAAGTAAACCCTTCTGCACTGCCTCACACTGTGAAAAATTCAGAGTCCTCAATTTCTCTATGCTTTGTTATTTATCAATCATCGTTGCACAAATAGATTTCAAGGGAACTGAGGAAAAATTCCAGGGCACTTGTGGACCGATCACTTACAAAGTTACACAAGAATCGACCGATCACTCTGTATCCACCCTTACACTTGCTCAATGACATTTTGTCATCTGTCACTGCTGTTTACTAATTGTCAACTGACGTTTTACTCTTTTGTTTTGCCAAATGTCGCCTCTCCCTCATTATTATCATTCGAGATAGCGCCGTGATGCTTTGTTCGCATGTTAGACCTTGTAATTTATTAAGGGCATTTTAAAAATATTCTTTCCACTACTTCGAGTAATCAATATCTTTCACATGAGTATTCCTGTGCAACAGATTATTAGATTGCCCCCTGCTTTACCCTGCCTTGTTCCTATTCTCCCTGTGTCACATCCATACACTTCCCCTGCTTTCCAAACACCTTCTCTGCCTCACCACCGTCCACTGTAACATAGACATATAAATACTCCCCTTCCCCTGTACAATAAAGCACAATCATCACTGCTCCAATCTCTGTTCCTCTCTCGATCCTTCCTTCGTTCTCTCGATCCCTCTTTGACTGTTGCATCCTGGGCCAGCCGATCACTCGCTGTGCATTTTAAGCTCTATCTATGATTCTTGGAAGGAATTTCAATACCCTGTAGTTGGTGTATGATTATGCACAAATTTGTATGCCAAATGGTCCTTGATTTAGATCAGCGCGATAACTTAAGGGGTTTGAATACTATGGTAATGGCTGCTATTATACACCCAAAATGGCTACAGTCGAGTTGGTCTTGAATGCCTCAGACAGCGCCTGAGCTCCGTTGGGTCCGATCGAGTTGCCAGTCAAGTCCAAAGTGGTCAGAGTCGAGTTGGTCTTGAGTGCCTCAGACAGCGCCTGAGCTCCGTCGTCTCCGATCTTGTTGCTCTTCAAGTTCAAAGTGGTCAGAGTCGAGTTGGTCCTGAGTGCTTCAGACAGCGCCTGAGCTCCGTTGTCTCCGATATTGTTGATCTGCAAGCCCAAAGTGGTCAGAGTCGAGTTGGTGTTGAGTGCCTCAGCCAGCGCCTGAGCTCCGTTCTCCCCGATCGAGGTGTATTCCAAGACCAAAGTGGTCAGAGTCGAGTTGGTCTTGAGTGCCTCAGCCAGCGCCTGAGCTCCGTTGTCTCCGATCGAGTTGTAACTCATTTTCAAAGTGGTCAGAGTCGAGTTGGTCTTGAGTGCTTCAGACAGCGCCTGAGCTCCGTTGTCTTCGATCGAGTTGTAAAACAAGTCCAAAGTGGTCAGAGTCGAGTTGGTCTTGAGTGCCTCAGCCAGCGCCTGAGCTCCGTTGTCTCCGATCGAGTTGTAAAACAAGTCCAAAGTGGTCAGAGTCGAGTTGGTCTTGAGTGCTTCAGACAGCGCCTGAGCTCCGTTGTCTCCGATCGAGTTGTAACTCATTTTCAAAGTGGTCAGAGTCGAGTTGGTCTTGAGTGCCTCAGCCAGCGCCTGAGCTCCGTTGTCTCCGATCGAGTTGTAACTCATTTTTAAAGTGGTCAGAGTCGAGTTGGTCTTGAGTGCCTCAGCCAGCGCCTGAGCTCCGTTGTCTCCGATCAAGGTTTTTTTTAAGATCAAAGTGGCCAGAGTCGAGTTAACCATTACACTCATAACTACATTGTCTTGTGCGGTTGTCGATGATTGTGTTTCATAGGCAGATCTCTGAATCTCCAGGCGTCGTATAAGGTGCTTGTTTTTCTCGACAGATTCCATGCTGATGCCAAGATTCGACAATACGACAAAGTTGTAGAGTGGCGGTGTAAATGAGTCGTTCCAATCCTGACTCACACGCGCGCAAGACGCGAGGTCTTTGAGGCCAAGGCTGCTGGCAATTCTTGAGCGAATCTCATGTAGATCGAGAGGATGTGTCCGGGACATCTTATTCATAAGGAGGATTGTAACAAATGTGATGAGGATGATGATGAGGACACTAATAATGAGATCGCAGAAAGGTACGATAACGATGTAGGAATGGGGAAAAGGAAAATGTAAAGAAAGAACGAAATAATAAAGATGACAGTGATGTTCTGCTGCAAACAGTGAAACTCACCAGTGTGAAGGCGAAAAAAATAATGGGAGGAAAGAGAGGTGTTTTATTCAGCTTGACCTTTCTGGCTATTATATTGGTCAGCTAGGTCACATGGTTTCCAATTTGTCAAAGAAAAAGGATGCTGCTCCATTGCAGCACCCAATCTCAACAGTTCGGTGAGTATGAAGTGAACAAGAATGAGATGAAGTTGATCGATCACGGTTGCACAAGAAAATTTCAAGGGAACTGAGGAAAAAATCCAGGGTATGGTTAGACAAGATCCCTTCGATTGATTCGGGAACATTCATGTTCCAGATTTTTACACGCGTTTCGTTTAGGGTCAATGTTCCCTTCACATTTACAAAAAATTGGGCAATGAGATCCCTCCCAATGTAAACATGAAAGAGAGAGGCTTTGGTGTGAGAAACATCAACATCTCTTTTTTTTTTTCCCATGGACTCATCATTCGCATTAAGCGAATGCCACTTTGAAAATTGCTCCATTAATTCGGATGCTCAACACTCATGTCGACATGGAGCTCGACGATGATGTCGGATCCAAGAAAAAAAAAATGGGCAGATTCGTTGTTCTCTTCCCTCTTTTGTGCGTTTTAGTGAGGCAAAAGAAATAACAAAGGATTTGTCACAATGAAGGTTGGAAGCGCAACCTTCGTAAAAGCAATATGCACCAAAAAAGCCTGACAATCGAAGGAACAGTTTGCTTTGCCTTTGGCTTGCCTCCTGCATTGCCTTTTATATCTCTCTGACATGTACCAGGTTCGTACGGCAATGTACCCATTTATTTTGACAAGGAACAACATCATTTACGGACATAGGGACAACTGACTTGTGGCAGCCAGGCGTTCATAGCGACGTTGCTTTTTGATCCTTCGATGTCGGCTCTTCCTATCATACTGAAGCAGAATTCAGTAAGCGTTGGATTGTTCACCCACTAATAGGGAACGTGAGCTGGGTTTAGACCGTCGTGAGACAGGTTAGTTTTACCCTACTGATGAAATGTTGTTGCAATAGTAATTGAACTTAGTACGAGAGGAACCGTTCATTCGGATAATTGGTATTTGGGCCTGCCTGAGCAGGCAATGGCCCGAAGCTATCATCCGTTGGGTTATGGCTGAACGCCTCTAAGTCAGAACCCGTGCTAGGACGCGACGATTACCGCCTTTTCCGATTTTTAGTTGAATACGAATAGATCCTCGGATCCTGAATCATACTACGTAGGGTTATCTTGCAGAGCGGAAAGGCTTTGTGAGGTTCCTGCTAATGTTAATTTCAAATATTGGAAGAGATAAATCCATTGCAGACGACTTTAATTGGACGGGGTATTGTAAGCAGTAGAGTAGCCTTGTTGCTACGATCTTCGAAAGAACAACATCTCTCCTCTCTCTCTTTTTTTTTCTATTCCGTCCGATTGAATTAAGGGCCGTTCAGCACATGCGCTGGGTCAAAGAGTTCTGTGTGCGTGTGTGCGAACTAAACCCGCTGTTCTATAGAGAAAGCAACGTCTTTCTCTTCTCTCTCTTTTTTTTCTATTCCGTGCGATTGAATTAAGGGCCGTTCAGCACATGCGCTGGGTCAAAGAGTGACGTTGTTACTCAGGGGAGAGGGTCGACGGCCAGAGTTGTAGGACCGCTGTTAGGTCCTCAATTGGTACGGAGGGGGGGGGGGAAGGGGTTGTAGGTTGGGGGGAGGGGAAGTGACAATAGTGTCCTAAAAGAATCACACAAAACGATACACTGCAGCGTGCCAGCGAAACTCTTGTCAATACTGCTCTCGTCCAAGTGATGTGTAAAAGGACCTTGTATTCATATTATCAAAGAGGGGGTTGTTACCTGCAGCTTGCCAGCGAAACTCTTGTCAATACTGCTCTCGTCCAAGTGATGTGTAAAAGGACAAAGAGCAGACAAGAGGGCTCGGCGCACTACTAATACTATGTCTACTAAAGAATATGACTGCTAACCTAAGGCATCGCCGCCACTGCCTAGCCACCACATCTTTTTGTAACAGTTTCTACCTCCCTCAGATGGGATGCCCGTCCCCTGACAATTCACATCTTCACTCCTTCCTCTCCTCCCTCACTCTCCTTTCCACTACTTTCTTCAACATATCACCACTCAGTGTCTCTACTCCTTCCTTGGTTCCGTAGTGAGTACGACCCGTCTTCACCCCATATGCGCCCGTTCGACCGACCCAAACGACCTCAAAAGGCCCCAACCAACGAGGGGTAAGCTTCCTCCCAAAGCCCGTCACAAACGCGAGATTAAAGACCCATACTCGTTCGCCCTTCTCGAACTTGATGACCTTGACACGACGATCATAATAACGCTTCGCCTTCTCGTTCGCATTCATCCTGTTCTCGTATGCCAACTCTCGCAGTCCCTCGCGACGACAAACAAATCGGGCCATCGCTCCTTCCAGCTCCTCGTGCACAGGTTCAATTTCACCGGTGGTCGTAAACAGACGATCATCGCTGAAAGACTGGCGCAGTGCAGAACGGCCAACGAAGCCCATCAGCGCTTCCGAGGGAGAGATCTTGGTGCTGCCGACGATGCGGTGGTTGATGTCGTAGACTGCCTTGGGTAAAAGAACGTCCCATTCGACTCCTGCCGACACGCTCCTACGCAACCTCTCCTCGATCAACTTGTTGGTGGCTTCAACTTGACCTTGGCTCTGCGGATGTCTAGTGGACCCGACCAAGTGCTTGATGCCCCATGCCTCACACATCTCCTTGAACTCCGTCCTGAACGCTGGTCCTCCATCGCTTCGAATGACCACGGGAAGACCAAACCGACACATGATCGACAAGAAAAGGGCTGCCTTGACACTTGCGGCACTCTTGTTCGGGATGGCACAGGCCTCTGTCCACTTGGTAAACGAGTCCGTAAACACAACAATCGACGTCATTCCTCTTGTCGTCCTGGGCAAATATTCGATCAGATCGACAAATAGAATCTCGAACGGAAAATCCGGCGTCGATGGATGAAGCTCGTTGTGCTTCTCTCTGGGTCCGAACTGCTGACACCGACGACATGACTTGACCCAATCGAACACATCCTTCCTCATCGTCGGCCACCACCCTTGAGCTCGAATTGTCGCCAGCGTAGCTTCCGCTCCATAATGGCCTCCAACGTCATGTGCCCACGACAGTTTTTCCTCCACCTCAGACTCCACTACGCACTGCTTCTCAACGTTGTCGGCATCCCGGTACAGTAACCCTTTCTGCGCGTCAACCCTAAAACGAAATGCCCTCCTCTTGGCCCTTCTTGCCTCGTTGTAGTCTTCCAGCCTCAGAGTTCCAGTGGTCAAGTAGGTAAATGTGTTCCTGTACCACTTGCACTCTGCCCATTTGCTGTCCATCGAAACCGCTCGCAGAGTCAGACACTCAGGCATCTCGTCATCAATATCGTCCCCCGCAAACTCTTCTCTAACCGTCAGCCTACTCATGCCATCCGCGTTTCCATTCTTGATTCCAGGCTTGGTCCGAATGGTGAGGTCGAATTCCGCCAAAGTCATCTGCCATCTCGCTGGGCGTCCAGTCAAATCGGTCTTGGAGAACAACCACTTCAACGGCGCGTGGTCCGTAAAGACAACTACCGATCGACCCAAAATGTATGGCCTGAACTTCTTGACCGAGAACACAATTGCCAGGCACTCCTTCTCGCTCGTGGAATAATTCAACTCGGGGCCATGAAGTGTCTTGCTGTAGAAGAATACAGGCCTGACCTCTCCGTTCTCGTCCTCCTGTTCCAGTACAGACCCAACCGCATAGTCACAAGCGTCGCATGGCATGATCCAATCACGCTCGAAGTCGGGACCTTTGAGAACTGGCGACGTCATGATCGCCTCCTGCAGGTTCCTCATCGATTCTATCTGCTCGTGGCCCATCACGAACACTACTCCCTTCCGCAACAACCGATTCAACGGCTCCGCCAGCTTAGCGTACACCCAGATGAACCGACGGTAGTATCCAGTCAACCCCAGAAATGCCCTCACCTGCCCTTTTGAGTCCATGATCACGAAATTGAGGACCTTCTCAACTTTGTCGGGCATGACCTGGATTCCATCTCGTCCAACGATATGTCCTGTGAACTCGACTTTGTCGTATCCGAAATGGAGCTTGGAGGCTTTGTATTTGACACCACCTTTCCTGGCTGCGGCGAATGTCCGATCCAAACCATCCAAGTGTTCGTCCCATTCCATGTCTCTATTACAGACGTCGTCCATGTATGCGTTCAACACGGTGCCGATCAGGTTGCCATAGACCTTCTGGACGAAGCGACTGAACGTGTGTGGTGCATTCTTGAGACCAAACGGCATGACGGTGTAAGCGTAGGTTCCGAACGGGGTCCTGAAGCCGAGATACTTGCGGTGCTCCTTCTTCACTCCAATAACGTAATATCCTTGAAACCCGTCCAGACTGGAATAGTAATGGTGACCGGCCAGCTCGTCTAGGATATGCTCGATGTTCGGGAGAGGCCAACTCTCTCTCTCCGTGACCTTATTCAGACCGACATAGGCGACACACTTTCTGATGCTCCCATCCTTTTTGGACGCCAGGGACAATGGCGCGCACCATTCGGACTCCATCTCGACGATCTTGCCTGTAGCTAATTCCTCGGAAATACTCTTCTTGAGGAACTCCATCTCCTTGGGCGCGTATCGAGGCGACCATCCAACGTATACCGGCTTCGATCCAGGGATGACATTGACCTCGTGCTCTAAGACGGTGGTGACCTCCAAGTCCTGCATGTCCATTGTAAACCGGTCTCTGTTCCGTTCCAGGAGCTCAACCATCTGTACTCGCTTCTCCATCTCCAATGCTGGGTTGATGT